AAATCCATAAGGACATGGGTCGTTCTTTCGCCTGTTTCTTTACCCTATTAAGGTGTGATTGCATGGTTAGAAGACACTGGTGGAGCAGAAACCAAAGACTTTTCGGTCACACTTTTGTTTGGGGACCAAACTAACAATTAACTATGACGTTTTCCTCAATAAACTCAATTACTGCTTACTAATAGTTAGTATAGTAGTTTTAGGTATGATTAAGGGATCTAAAATATGGTCATGCAGAATAGGCCATAAAATATGTGCTTTATAACAGCCAATTTGCGAGTAATATGCATGATAATAAGCAACTCGTTAATAGAGAGAATTGGTAAATGAGAATTGGTCCCTAAACTAAAGTGTTACCGACTTACTTGAAATAGAAGTGGGGAAGATAACTGACCTATATGCCTTTTCAACAGCCTGTGGGCGATTGCAAGCTGCCACAAGCACATAGACGGTGTCTGTGGGCATTCCACATATGCCCCCGTTCTTCATGATCTCTGTCATAAAAGAAAGGAAATATTGGTATAGACACATATGCATTCATGTATACATAGCAAATTTTTCAATTTTACTCAAGTGACTCACCTGCAATTTGCTGAACGGATGAGGAATTCCTGGCTGGAAGGTGAGGGCAGCTGTCTTTGCCTCCTCCAAAGCCGCTCAACTTGATGAAAGGATCACCGAAAGGCATTTGTGGGCTTTTAAAGGTGCAGTTGAAAATGCTGGCCAGGAACATGTAGAAGCTGACCAGCCCGAGGATAATGGTCACTCCGATATCGTAGCCGTAGGGCAGCGCGCCTACTGCATCCAATAAGAAGCTAATGAGGATGAGTTGGAAGGTGAAAGTATAGATGAACCAGGCCTTGTTGAGAAACAGGGCTCCAGCTGTCACTAACACATTGAAGAGCATGAAACTGATGATTCCCACAGCAAGGTGTAGGCCACGCACATCTCCATAGAGGCCTCCGAAGCGCGTCAGTCCCCACACTGTCCACATGATACCGTAAAGGACGAAACTCGTACTCTCTAGGGTCTTTCCTCGAGAGAAGGCAACAGAGCCACATATCAGGTGCAGCACACCACCGGAAACCACCGCCCAAGGCAGGATCAGAATAGCCAAGGGGTTTCCGCTAGAAAGTGAGGCTGTGATCGAAAATGCGGCCAGGACACTGCAGCCGTGGCCCAACACCTCGGCGTCGGCATATTTAGAGTAGCCCAGATAGGGAGCGTGTAGCTCTTTGCCATTGGTTTGCAAGACAAATCTATTACTGCGGGCCAACAGGTTCTTAAGGAAGCCTGCACCTGTAGGTATCTTGTTTGAGGAAGCCATGTTATAAAGGGTTATAATGAGCACAAAAGCGGAGGCAACGAATATGGCGGCCTGTATGCCTTGCGTTCCCCTCTGAAAGAAGCTTTGGGGTTCGGATGCAATTGCAATACAGTATGCTACAAAAAACAGCTGGTAGATGGTGTTCACAAACCCTCCCTGCAAGTTAAACAAGGCCAGGATGAAAAACAACACTGAGAATACAACTGGAAACGGCACTGGGGAATAGGGCACTTGGTTTGTGAAGTGCACCACTAGCGCGGTGTAGCCTTCAGTGAACCGCAGGATGGAGGTGAAGCCATAGAAAGTGGCTGCCAGGGTGTCCATAGATCTGTAGCTCTTAACACACACACCCAGCTGGAAGACGCCAGCGGTCCACAGCCAGGGCACATGGCCAGAGAAGAGCTTAGGGACAACACCGAGCAGAGGACAAGCCAGCACACTAGCCGACAACAAGTTCATGATTACTCCGACTGTCACAACATCATTAGCCTCTTGACTTTGCATTGGTTTCGCACTATCTTTGTTGAATGTTCCGGGGAGCTGAATCTTTCTCTGTGTGATGTACGATAACAAACGGCCACTTCCGAAGTAAGCGCCCACAAAACAGACCATGAGGTAGCAGACAGCGGTGGCTGCCTGTCCGAAGGCCGAGTCTGCCAGACCTGCAATCTGGTGGGCGCACGCTAGACATATGCTCAGGGCGATGAATGAGAGGACAACCTCGTGACATAAAATAGCCACGATGCAGATAGCAAGCAGTGCCAGAGTGAAAGCTGCAAGGCCTGGCACCATGGCATCTCTCAGCCCTCTGCTGCTATTTATTATGTTTTCGCCTGCAAGTATGTGCACTAAACCCGAACCGCACCATAGGGCTGACACTGTCAGACACAGACTACCATAGAGTACATTGTGGGACTGGTTGCGTCGAACACCTGGATAAAAGGACAGTGAGATGAAGAATGAAGGATAGAGAGGGAAAGTTTTACATGGGATGATTTATAAAACCAAGTGCATTTATGTATTCAAAGTTAGACTGCATAAAAAGAGTTTAAAGGTGAGTGAAATGTGTAATTTCTGTAGAGTTAAAAAAAAACCTCTTGAAAAACTCCGTTGTCTCCAATTAGTCAAAAAAAAACAAATATGGCTCCGCTCCAAACCCATGACATTTAAAGAGCCAATGTTGTCTGTCAGAGTGCTCAAAAACAGCAATGTTTTAATAGTGCCACACTGTTGAAGCTTTCTTAAAAATCAATCTACAAATAATCTACTTTGAGCTTCAAGTCTACATGTACTACATTTGTAATGTTTCAAGCTGGATCTAGTGACATTAGTTAATAAATTAACTAAATGAAAAAAAAATTTCAATTCAATTTCTTCATTTGACACTATAAAACTAAGACAACAAAGACTATAAACACACACACAAACAAAACAAAACTTTTGATCAAATTGTAAGTAAAAAAAACAAACTAGCATTTCTGTGTGCAATACATTACATCTGTTTGTAGTCTAATAATGTGCAACACATACCTGAATAAGCCAGCAGAGCAGCGAATATGAGGAGCAGAACTCCTAAAGCTGTGTTTGTGATCAGAGGTTCATCTGGAGAGCTCGCATAGTTGTTCACCAGAAGCAACAGAGAACCTATTCACGAGACATTATTATTATTATTATTATTATTATTAGCCTATGAGCAATACTATCTTCTTTTAGGGGGACAATGATTACCAGTGATGAACAGAATCAATGAAGATTTACATCTTATGTGTTTCCACATCAGCGGTGGAGTTAAAGTGCAGTACACACGTTAGTTTTGCCCTCTACTGGCGTTAGGGGAATAATAAATAATCCGTAAATAATAAGACAAATATGAAAAATTATTAAACTCACAAGTATGACTATTATAATTAGCCTATTAATAAACATGTGCAATACAATTCGTAATGCAAATCATTTTTTAATTTAGGCATTTCTTGCGAAAAGTTGTTTTTTTTTATTTGTAGTTATTTATTTAACATTCGAGGTAAATAACTGCGATTATATATACTTAAATACTGGCTAATAAATCATTTCTAAAATCTTTTTTTTCTCTTCTCCTTCTGTTTTCTGCCACCTACCCCCAGAAATGCCCAGGACTCCGATGCATAAGTGCAGTGACTCGGACTCCGCCATCCTCAGTCAGATGCGCTCTTCTCTCGCGCGCGCGCGCGGCTTATATACACGCCCGTGACGTCACGCGCCGTGACGTCAGACATGCGCTCACAAAAGCCCTTTATTTCCTCTTACCCTGGAGTTTCCTCATCCTTTACACCACTGCTGGAAAATTACTACAATGCTTCTAATACAAAACACACGTAATTCAATCAAATAACCTTTGCTCCTTTTATGTAATTATTACAGAACTTATTTTAGCCTACTTTTTGCTTAATAAATTGAAACGTACATTTTTATGCATACATAAAATGTGAATTTTCTATGAATGCAGTTTTTTTTTTTTTTTACTCACATTTTCTAAATTAAAGTTAGCTACATTAAATGAATCATTGTACATGACTTTCAAATGAATTAATGAAACAATAAATGTAGAGCTCAAAATGAAGATAAGTGTTATGAAACTTTGGTAATGGGATGTGTTGATAATGAATGTGAAATATTACACCTGCGGATACTCTACGAGGACACCTGTGTGAATCTGAGCAGAACTGACTTCATACAGCGAAGAAGAACAAATTACAAAACCTTGTGCTGCATTTACTTTGATACTTGCTTCTCAAATAAAGATATGAAGAGTTCAGATGCAAAAGCCTCTAAGTGCCATCTGAAACTTTCACCTAAAATGAGCATTTGTATCAGGCTCCTATATTTATGTTCAGTTATTTCACTTTAATGGCATAGAAAAGGACCTAGACATTGCCATTAAAGTGAAATTACTGAACCTAAGCATAAAAATGCAAATTTTAGAAGACATTTTCAGACGGCACTTAGAGGCTTTTGCATCTGAACTCTTCATATATAGGCTCCTAAAGTTGGTAACTATAGAGTTCTGAACACTGCCCTCTTTCATTCACATGAAGCTTGTCTTCAGCTTTGTTACAGTGCGGTTAATATGGCACCGATATAAACACATGCAGGTGAACTCAGAAAGAAACTGAGGCATGACTAGGCACAGTCTATACGGGAAAACAGAGACAATATAGTTTGCTTTTCCTTCCTGGAACACGCCTTAGTGGGAGGGACTGTCCCGAACCAATATAAGCAGCACACAAGTGTGTGGAGAGAAACACTCAGGAAGAAGCACACTTCACTGCTCAACTCTGCTCAACTCTGCTCAACTCAACTCTGCTCAACTCAACTCTGCTCAACTCAACTCTGCTCAACTCAACTCTGCTCAACTCAACTCAACTCAGCTCAACAAGGTAGGCTGCTGCACTGCTTTAAACGACTGCAATTAATGAAAACTTTAAGATTGTTGAACATCGAAACATCTTTTATTTTAACAGTAGGTAGGCTATTTTCTGTATTATTTACAGTTCTGATATTTCTTTAGGTTGTTGTTTAATGTTCATGTTAAATGTTAATCAACATTTTGTAGCAGCCCGTGAAAGCAGGCGAGGCAAATGTTAATCGACATTTTGTAATAAAGAAATATTCCCTGAATCCCGTTTCTGTTCAACGCTTGTTTGCGTTACCTCCGTGGAAACTGAGCTTGTGTTACCTGGGCGAGATCTCTGGGGCGCGAGCGCTATGTAAATATTGAATTCTGCCAGTGTGTAAGTGACTGCCACCTGTTGCCTACTTGCCATATCTTTTCTCAGAGCCAAGAAGAGTCCCTTACTGTTCGGATGAATACGTGCGGTTAAAGGCCAGCATTAATAGTTAATGTCTGTGTGTGTGTGTGTGTGTGTGTGTGTGTGTACCTGGTATTTATCACGTTATGGGGACCAAATGTCCCCACAAGGATAGTAATACTAGTAAATTTTGACCTTGTGGGGACATTTTTGAGGTCCCCATGAGGAAACAAGCTTATAAATCATACAGAATGAGTTTTTTTGAGAAAGTAAAAATGCAGAAAGTCTCCTGTGAGGGGTAGGTTTAGGGGTAGGGTTGGTGTAGGGCAATAGAATATACGGTCTGTACTGTATAAAAACCATTACGCCTATGGAGAGTCCCCACTTTTCACAAAAGCAAACCTGTGTGTGTGTGTGTGTTTTGTGCAGCAGGCATGGCAAAGAGCGTGGCGCTGATTCTGTCCGGCTGCGGCGTGTATGACGGCACAGAGGTTCACGAGGCGTCTGCTGTGATGGTGCACCTCAGCCGAGCAGGTGCCAAGGTAATAATGCACACAAATAAAGCAACACAAAGAACAGTCTGAAAATCTGGGCTTTCTTTAAACCTTGAAATAAGCAGAGTACGTGAAAATGAGAACGAAAACGAAACTCGGCTCATTTGCAGCTCCGTCTCACATGCAGCTGACGTTGCTTCGCAGGTCCAGATGTTTGCGCCTGATGTTGAGATGATGCATGTGGTGAACCACTGTGAAGGCAAGCCCGTGACGGACAAGAGGAACGTGCTGCAGGAGAGCGCGCGCATCGCCCGGGGTGACGTCACAGACCTGGCCACGCTGGACGTCGGCGCCTTTGATGCGCTCATCATTCCAGGTGATCAAAGAGCTGCGGCAAAGACCCGCCCACAGCACGAAGGATCACTATAGAGAGAAATATACAACGATAACTTCATTAAAATCCAAATAAATGGACGATCACGTTCTGCAGTTTTGACGTCTGCTGCTTCATTATATCATTATTATATTTATAATCATTACAATTAACGTCCTTGAAATGAATGGGCCTTAAGTGTTAAAATTCAGTGAAAACAACCTGGCATCCATTTTTATAATGTAAGGTGCACTTGTTGTTACTAGGCTATTTACGTATTTATTTACCTACCTACCTCAAAAACTGTCATAGTTTAGAAATAAAAGGCCATTCTCTACTCTCTGATTTGAAAGTTGTTTAAATGGGCGGGTCTATTTTAACACTTGTAAACACCTACTTCAGTGATTGAACACACACACACGCGCACACACAGACACACACACACACACACACACACACACACTGACACACACACACACAGACAGACAGACACACACACACACACTAGAATGAAGAAAAAAAACAAAAACCCCAGTTGTAAGAGTGTCTTATGCAACCGGCCGTGCCAGTAAAAGCTGTTTTTGGACTAGCATGGAAGTTTTGAGTTCTGAAACTGAAAGTCTGAAACTTTCATTAATGGTATAGTGACATCTTATATGTTAAAATCTCAAGAAAATTAGATTTCTTTCTTCATGATCTCTTCAATGGTAAATTAACTCTTAATGTGCCGTACAGGTGGTTTTGGAGTGGCTAAAAACCTGAGCGACTGGGCCACCAAAGGCAAGGACTACTCGATCAAACCTGAGATTGAGAAGGTCATTAAAGCTTTCCATCAGGCCAAGAAACCCATGGGCATGTGCTGCATCTCTCCTGTGCTGGCAGCCAAAGCTATTCCCGGGTGTGAGCTGACCGTCGGCCACGACTCGGAGTGTGAGAAGTGAGTCTGAGCAGGTTTATGCAGTAGAGTCATTAAAACTGAGCTCTGATGATGCTAATGGTTAAGAGGCGCTTTGGTTCTGAACTCCGTGTTGTCTTTCTTGTGCTCGCAGGTGGCCGTATGCTCAAGTGGCTAAAGCCATGGCAGAACTGGGCTGCAAACACTTGAACAAGAACGTGGGCGAGGTGCACATCGATTCCAAGAACAAACTGGTGACTACGAGTGCGTTCATGTGCAACGCTGACATCCATGAGATCTTTGATGGTCTGGGTGTCATGGTCAAAGAAGTTCTCAAACTAGCCTAATTTTGTCATTTGAATGTCTGAATATTATTACATCAATAGATATGTATATTTATTTATAAATGAATGTTGTCCTTTAAACCCAGGAAAAAAAGCATCACAAAACCAATGAGACCAATTCATTTTCAGTAAAACATACTGTTTTTGTGTTTTTGTGGTAGTCTATTATCAATAAAACTGATCAGATTTGAAACATTTCCTTGTTCATTGATGTGTTAATGTGTGTTGTTCATATCATTATAGACCAGTGCAATAAGTATTATTTTACAATAAGTATTATTTGAACTTTTATTGTACACTTATTTGGTTTTTCCATTAAGATTGGCAACTCAAACCCCCAAACACTGGCAACACTAAAGTGGATTTGAATTTAAGAATTAAATTTAATATATATTTAAAAAATCAATTTCAAGTAATAGTTTGAGACAATAAATAACACATTTGAAAAACAATGTACAATATAACAATGTAAGAAAAGAAAAAGTAAACAAAATCAAAGAGGCAAAAGTGCAATACACTATTGGTTACATCAGGCACACTAAAATGCAATGTCAAGTTAGTGTGATCATGTTAGACAAGAACCTAGGATTTTACACACACACACACGCGTTGTGTTTCCATGTTTTTTGGGGACTCTCCATAGGCGTAATGGTTTTTATACTGTACAAACTGTATGTGCTATTGCCCTACACCAACCCTACCCCTAAACCTACCCCTCACAGGAAACTTCTTGCATTTTTACTTTCTCAAAAAAACTCATTCTGTATGATTTATAAGCTTGTTTCCTTATGGGGACCTCAAATGTCCCCACAAGGTCAAAATTTACTGGTATTACTATCCTTGTGGGGACATTTGGTCCCCATAACGTGATAAATACCAGGTACACACACACTTTATATTGCTATCCTCACTTACATAAATGAACTATAGTGTCCTGCACCCACTAGTAAACAAATATCAAAAATTATATCTGGTGCCTGAATAATTTTTGGTTTGACTAATATATATATATATATATATATATATATATATGTACAGTGGGTACAGAAAGTATTCAGACCCCCTTAGATTTTTCACTCTTTGTTATATTGCAGCCATTTGCTAAAATCATTTAAGTTATTTTTTTTTCCTCATTAATGTACACACAGCACCCCATATTGACAGAAAAACACAGAATTGTTGACATTTTTGCAGATTTATTAAAAAAGAGCAACAAGTTTTTCACATCTGGATTTGGGGATCCTCTGCCATTCTTCCTTGCAGATCCTCTCCAGTTCTGTCAGGTTGGATGGTAAACGTTGGTGGACAGCCATTTTTAGGTCTCTCCAGAGATGCTCAATTGGGTTTAAGTCAGGGCTCTGGCTGGGTCATTCAAGAACAGTCACAGAGTTGTTGTGAAGCCATTCCTTCGTTATTTTAGCTGTGTGCTTAGGGTCATTGTCTTGTTGGAAGGTAAACCTTTGGCCCAGTCTGAGGTCCTGAGCACTCTGGAGAAGGTTTTCGTCCAGGATGTCCCTGTACTTGGCCGCATTTATCTTTCCCTCGATTGCAACCAGTCGTCCTGTTCCTGCAGCTGAAAAACACCCCCACAGCATGATGCTGCCACCACCATGCTTCACTGTTGGGACTGTATTGGACAGGTGATGAGCAGTGCCTGGTTTTCTCCACACATACCGCTTAGAATTAAGGCCAAAAAGTTCTCATCAGACCAGAGAATCTTATTTCTCACCATCTTGGAGTCCTTCAGGTGTTTTTTCATGTGTCTTGCACTGAGGAGAGGCTTCCGTCGGGCCACTCTGCCATAAAGCCCCGACTGGTGGAGGGCTGCAGTGATGGTTGACTTTCTACAACTTTCTCCCATCTCCCGACTGCATCTCTGGAGCTCAGCCACAGTGATCTTTGGGTTCTTCTTTACCTCTCTCATCAAGGCTCTTCTCCCCCGATAGCTCAGTTTGGCCGGATGGCCAGCTCTAGGAAGGGTTCTGGTCGTCCCAAACGTCTTCCATTTAAGGATTATGGAGGCCACTGTGCTCTTAGGAACCTTAAGTGCAGCAGAAATTTTTTTGTAACCTTGGCCAGATCTGTGTCTTGCCACAATTCTGTCTCTGAGCTCTTCAGGCAGTTCCTTTTGACCTCATGATTCTCATTTGCTCAGACTTGCACTGTGAGCTGTAAGGTCTTATATAGATAGGTGTGTGGCTTTCCTAATCAAGTTCAATCAGTATAATCAAACACAGCTGGACTCAAATTAAGGTGTAGAACCATCTCAAGGATGCTCAGAAGAAATGGACAGCACCTGAGTTAAATATTTGAGTGTCACAGCAAAGGGTCTGAATACTTAGGACCATGTGATATTTCAGTTTTTCTTTTTTAATAAATCTGCAAAAATGTCAACAATTCTGTGTTTTTCTGTCAATATGGGGTGCTGTGTGTACATTAATGAGGGAAAAAAATTTACTTAAATTATTGTAGCAAATGGCTGCAATATAACAAAGAGTGAAAAATTTAAGGGGGTCTGAATACTTTCCGTACCCACTGTATATATCCCATCAGATCCAAATAAATTAAGCTTGCTTTCACCATTAAGTGAACTTTGGACCAGTTCTTCTCTCTCTCCACGCAACCACACAACATGCTCCTCCTCAGCAAAGTTGAGTTTAGCCTTTTGATTCTTTCAGTTGATGAGAGCTTAGGTCACTGCATAGTACGCTTTCAGGCTGACTTCTCTTAAATGTACCGAGACAGATCCTTACCCTGTCCAGCGCTGAACTAGTGAGCAATTCCAGCTGCAGTGTTGAACCGATTCCCCATTGAGAGTCTCCACATTATCCTGTCTTCTCATGCATTTGTTTACATGGACGACCAGCCTTTTTGGGGGACTTGAACCTGCAATATTCCAGAAATCACAGATCTGGAATGACCAACTTCTCTTGCGTTGGTTGAAAGGGTTGTCCCTTTGGCCTTCATCTGGACTGCCTCCTGTCACAGGCTTTCAGTCACCTTAGAGCGGCCCGCCACCTTACAATCACAGTGATAATTGCAGGACTGCTGCCAGTTAAATAGGGTCTGTCATATAATTAAGAAAATTAGCACCAGGTGCCAGATTAACACCAATAACTTGGAGGAATCTGCAAGTGTTCTCTAACTTTGATCAGTTCTTTTTCAAATATCTGATTTAAGTTTTTTATACGGTGCTTCAAGAAAGAGACACCTGCACCCACAATCTATAGGACACCAGCATAGTTTGAATTTACCCTGATTGACTAAATAAACAAGCTGACATGTAGTTTCAAAGTCACTTACAGTCAGCTGAATGTCTTTTGAGAGCATCAAAGTAAAGTGTTAGAAGATATTAAACAGATAGTCTACTAATACTCTAATGACTGCTAGTTGACATGGAGCTGCAAAGTTACATATTGTTAGCAGAATGCATAGCCAGAATAAATTAGCAGGATTCACTCCAGATACTCATACATATGTAGTTTTTCATCTTATTCTTTGTTTACAATTTTCCCATACGTCTTCAGGAGAACTGAAGATGAAGATACTGTGTCGACTAGTGACTGAGGTTATTATCAGCTTTAGTATACACGCTTGTTTGAGATCCAGAGCTAGACACAAAGTAATGAGACCAAGACCGTGTCTATGTGTGATCTATAGAGGTTTCAAGACCAAAGGCCAGATTTACTAACAGCTTGTACCAGTGCAAACCATTTTTTGACTTCAGAAAACTACTGTCAGGATTTACTAAAGTCATACAGTTAAAAAATAAAGCTAAAAAACATGGACAGTTATTTTTGTGGCTGACTTTATTGCATATGCATTTGTAGGAGTTTCCCTTTCAATATTTATGGGAGGAGAGGATTTAAATGAGTCATGCAATGTGATTTACTAAGGTTTGCGGTAATGAGTTTAGAAGTATTTGAGACATTACTTAAAGCCCAGGAAAAGCATGTCTTAACCCGTATTGCACTGGACCTGGCTGCAATAGCTGCTCATTTGTGCTGCTCTCGGTGGATTGCATTATGTGGTGTTGCTGTTGCTCTGTCTTTTCTCTATTTGTTGAATCATTTGCAAATAACTTAAACATCCAGAGGTAATATTGAACAATTTATTGAGTATTTCAGATCAGTTCCATATTCAGAAAGTGACAGTCAAAGGACACATACAGTTCAAAATCCCATAACACATGATTTCCTGAAAAGCCTGAAAGATACATACCCAAATTTTAAATAAATAAAACATTTATATAGGACATATAAATATAAATATAAACTTTCAAATTTTCACAAGTAATGCTAAGTAATAAGAAAATCAGGTAGAACAGATAAAAAATAAAAATAAAATAAAAAAACGCTGTTTAATTTGACACACACATTGTTAGAGTTTAATTAGTTCATAAAGCCAAAGCACCCATGTCTTAAATAAAGAGGTCATTATAAGCCGGTCACAGTTCGGAGGTTTTGTTGGAGAAATGGTTGTGTTTGTCAGTACCGCTGACCAGCACCGTGGCAAGAAAAGTCCTGGGACGCTCAGGGTCCTGTCAGCAAAACACACACATATTTATATGTTTTTTCCAGCTAAACGTCTGTGGATATGTCTATGTGAAATGTAAACTGAGTGAGATGTTTACCTGGATTGGATAAGTGCATGTAGGGACATATCGGATCACATAGCCACAGCGCCTCCTATTAGATGTGTTGGGATCACTGGCATGAACCAGAAGTCCATCATGGATCTGAATCCAGAAGCAAACTTAAATTAAACTCAGATATAAGCTCGTTTTGATTTGTTCCATGGTTTTGACATGGTAGTGTGTTATTTTTTCAGACGGTCATGGCAAGTATTCATACTCACAGACATCTGACCAGCTTGAAGGGGGCATAAGATGGCCTTCTCCGTCTCCACCAGCTCCTCTGGGATCTCCTGATTGACGCTTAGCATGTTGCCAGCTCGTTTTGACTGGTAATGGGGCAGAAGACCAGAGTGGTGGCTTCCTGTTGGGAAAGAAGTTTAGACACCTCACAAACCAGACAAAGTGACACGACTCATCTTGCAAACAGAGACGGTGTTCATACCTGGAATAACCTGCAGTGCTCCGTTGTCCTCAAGTGAGTCATCCAGAGCGAGCCAGACGGACAGAACGGGACCTCCATCAAAGCCCCAGTACCTGGAAACCAACATATGATGATTACTGAACAATCGGAATGGATATCTAAGCCAACAGAAACCCAAAAAAACGCTTTGATTGTGCTTACTTCATATCCTGGTGCCAGGCCACAAACGGCATCCCAACGCCGTCCTTTTCCTTATCACAGGTGTTGTTCGGTTGGATGACGCCAGTGCTTTCTTGTGTCTTACATACTGGATATTTACAAATGAATCTGGAGTCCAGCAGGATGACGTCTGGCCCCAGAACCGCTATGACCGCCTCCAGAAGCTTAGGGTGCTTGGCGAGGCCCATCACCCAGTCATACTCCTTGTGGACATTATGAAGGCTGTAAGCAGTGTAATCTTCACCTGTTGAGGAATACTTGGATTAATTCAAGTCCAAACCTCAATTCAAAGGCTTATATGTGAGCCTGGAGCACAGAAGCAGTCATAAGTAGCACGGGTATATTGGTAGCAATAGCCAACAATATATTGTATGGGTCAAAATTATAGATTTTTTCTTTTATGCCAAAAATCATTAGGATATTAAGTTAAGATCATGTTCCATGACGATATTTTGTAAATTTCCTACCATAAATATATCAAGACTTAATTTTTGATTAGTAATATACATCGCTAAGAACTTCAATTAAACAAATTTAAAGGCGATTTTCTCACTATTTATCACCCTCAGATTCCATACTTGTATCTCGGCCAAATATTGTCCTATCCTAACAAACCATACATCAATGGAAAGCTTATTTATTCACCTTTCAGATGACCTCAATTTCTAAATATTAACCCTTATGACTGGTTTTGTGGCCCAGGGTCACACATGTAAGTCGACAGCACTGAAACTCACCATGTTTTCTCTCCAGCTCAGCGAAGGCGTCCCGGGCCTGCTGCAGCTCTTCGGGACTCAGGATGGGAATGGCCGACATGTACCCCTGCTGCTCGTACAAGTCCTGAATCTCAGCCGCGTCTCTCTTCATGTCTGAAAATGCAGTGAAACTTCCTCTTGTCTGCTGGAGATGTGTTGAGAACGCCGTCTCTTGCTTCGTTTGCTTCTCAAGGGCTAAAGCTCAGCTCAGCTGTGTACACTACACAGGGAAAGAAAACCTGTTTTAATAACCTGGTCAGAAAGATGGGAAACGAAACTTTGCATCCACGTTCAGTCATTTCCATTTTTGACCTCTGAAAACCTCCTTGTTTTGGCTCTACTCCTCCCTACTTATTCATGGCACATTTATTCTGGGTTGTTTATGCAGGCACAGAGAGTGCTATAGTGACTGGAGGCAATGGTCCATGAGCAATTAAATGGGAAGAACATGCTACTCTAGTAGACTTATTTTCATTGCTAAAGTTCACCGAGTGTGTGCAGACAACAAAAAACACAAACCTGAGATGCTGGTTTCCTCTTGGTTCAAGCTGTAGACAAAGTTGAAAGAACAGTATACAACAATTATAAATCTATCAAGGAAAGTATGGAAACTGAATCATATTTAATTCAGCCAATACCTGTTCTTTGCGCTTCAGGCTGTTTCGTCCTAAGATGTCTTGCTCTTCACTGTCAAACTGTTCTTATATACAAGAAGTTGCGAATTAGGATCCTCCCCCAAAATGAAATCATATGACATCTTTACTATTTTAGACTCCAGGAGGAAAAAAAGAAAATATTTTAACCACCCTATCATACATTGTCAGGGTGTGTAAGTATGCCAAATATGTTGCAATATGCTGGGCAAGTCAACTAATGATGCTGGACATTCTAGAAAGTCATAAGTCATATCTGTGACCGGATAATACTTACTCAAGAACACAATGCCTTTTTTTTGTCTCTCTCGATACGTGATGAACGTGATCTACATTGTCACCTGCTCGTAAAGCAAAATCATTTATTAATATATGACATTTACCCAAACCATACAGTAGGTACTTACTATATATTATACTATTTCCTTATCTACTATCTATTCAAATCTGTGAAAAGTGTCTAAAGGTCAACAAAATAATGGCTTAATTATTCACATAAATTATTTAAAATAGTTTATATTTCTAAAGATTTCAATGTTTTTGTAATATTTCAACTACTATTCTATTTATGTGTTGACTTTTATTGCATTATTGAATATTTTTCTGCCAAAATTGTGGGCAACTTCAGTCACATTTCAGTTGATGAAGACATTTGTGAGCTTAAGTCTTTAGTCGCTGGGGTATATTTGTAGCAATAGCCAACAATACATTGTATGGGTCAAAATTATACATTTTTCTTTTATGCCAAAAATCATTAGGATATTAAGTAAAGATCATGTTCCGTGAGGATATTTAGTACATTTCCTACCGTACATATATCAAAACGTAATTTTTGATTAGTAATATGCATTGCTAAGAACTTCATTTGAACAACTTTAAAGATGATTTTCTCAATATTTAGATTTTTTTATTTTATTTTTTTTGCACCCTCAGATTCCAGATTTCAAATGTTGTATCTCAGCCATCAAATCTCCCCTTATGACTGGTTTTGTGGTCCAGGGTCACATTTCTATTTAAGTAGAAAAAAATCCTGCAATCATATGATCATGAATACTAAATATGCGTTTTCAACATACTGTATATTTTGTTATATCTGAATAGCCGAAATAGAGCTATTAGCAATTTCTTTCTTTAATATAATATGTCAGTGTTTATTTAATATATATGAGTAAAATCGTAATCAAAGAATATGGATGGTTAAGAATTTGGTTGACAAACATCTACATTGGTAATGCGGTTTTATTAAAACAATATAGTTTAAAAAAAGGACAATTCTGATGCGTTATAATAACAACGCATTATAACGCATAACAACGCACTTTAATGTATTATAATAATACATTAAAACCTGACCTATTTAACATGGGCTATGTACAGTGAAAACACAAAATCAGAGATGAACTTTCCTGAATGAGATTACAACTGAGCAAACATCCTGGAAAAAACAAACAGTAATTCATAAGAAATGAGCTCAATATAGGGAATTCCAATGGCCACGGGCTTCCTTATTGTTAAAGCTTCAGAAACTTCTTTAATCGTTTCCTTCTTAAAGTGTATTGTTTTTCCTGCAATAAGTCAGTTTAATATATTGCCATAAAAAAATTAATTTGCTTATAAAGATGACAGCATACAGGATTGTTTGAGTTTCATGCTTTCAGTCAGTAAAGTGGTTCAGATTTATTTACACTGAGACGATACAAAAGTGCACAGTTTCCACACAGTCATTGTACAAACACAGTGACAAACAATATGAAAGAATGATACAATAAAAAAATAAGAACCTCATATAAATAAAGCAGTTAAAAAGGAACTTTTGAAGTTTTAAAGATACGAAGTAGCTTGTGTGCATTTGTTTAATGTGATGAATGAATCTGTGGGCGTTCAGGGGAAGTCCAGCTGGCCGTGGTGCTCACAGTGTTTGGGACAGACGTATCCGCCGCGCTGCTCTTCTCTGGGCTTTCTCCTGTCTGACCTGGGCCGGTCCTGCTCGTTGTTGCAGCGATGCACCAGAACCGGCTCTTTCTCGGCTGGAGATTTTTTCATCAGCAGTCTCTGGAGAATGCGTTTGTCTGAGCGCTCCTTCCGGAAATCATCCTCGTACACCTTCAGCTGAGAAAACCAACAAGATGACATTTAAAACATATGAGATATCTCCTTTGATAGTGTATATGTGCAGTTGATGCCTTTTCTGTTTTCGCAATATTAGACTATAATGATACAGAAATTAAATGGCAAATAAATTCATATTAATGTGCACATCCGGTTGTCAGTCCATAAAAACAGAAAGAGAAGATAAGACAAGATAATCATCAGTCTATTTTAGTCATCTCCAGTGTTAAGTAACATACTCTAAAACTGAAATTAATTACTAGCTAGTCTTCAACAGTGTAATTCGATTACTGTACTAATTACTCTCTCTAAAAAACACTGCATTACTTATTACTAATTACTTTTTAATTTACAGATCAACCTCGACAGAATAGACATGAAACCGATCTTGTATTTAAATAATATAAAACTACATAAATTATTCTTGAACTGACCAAAGAATTTAAAGAGAAGGAGAAGGTTCCATTAATAGAAATTAGATTTTGGTGTTAAATCCGCTATTGTTTTACATTGAAATATTCAATGCAATTACATCAAACAAATTACATTACAGACAAACTGTATTCCCTTACTTTACTCTTTCAAGGAAACAATTAAATTACGGGGATTAATTATTTAGGAATGCATTGCACCCATCACTGATCATCTCTTATGACATACTCAACGTCACAACTGCATGGCATCACAATTAGTTTCACTGGAAACCACCTAAACCTCATTTCCTTTTGCTACAAGATTTTTAAATACAATGGAATGGAAATCTTTGACATGGAAATCAGATGAGTGTGACCTGCAGTGACATACACAGGTGACCGCATTATGATAAAAAAAGAGATTCATTTCCTCAGTGAAACGCTCCTCTGTAAATGGCTCAGAAAATCTTCTTTGCACCTTTTCATGAACTGTCCAATACTCTGCTTCTGTGTTCAATAAACTTTGCATTAGCTCAATTGGTACTGCTCTCTGGCATTGATCAGTCAAACACTAAGTCAGTAGTTGACATGTCAGACCGCTGAAACAAACATGTAACAGTGTCACAGGGTTGACCTTTTGTTTACACTTTATCTCGATAGCCCACTTTATACACTCTACTAAAAGTAACTTTGTAACTACATGCCAACTTACTCTCAGTAGAGTACTAGTAGACTGTAAGGTTAGGATTTGTTTCACAAGTTGACATGTTTTACATGTATAACAAAGTAACTTATAGTTCATACTTATAGGCCATCATTTACTCACCCTCAGGTTATTCCAAACCTGTATGACTTTCTTTTTCCATTGAACACAAAAGACGATATTTGGAAGAAAATGGGTAACCAAACAGTTGATTGTCCCCACTGACTTCCATAGTATGGAGAAGAAAAATATAGTATGGGAGTCAATGGGGACCATCAGCTTTTTTTCTTTGAAAAATATCTTCTTTTGTGGTCAACAGAAGAAATATACACCGTATACAGGGTTGAAACAACTTGAGGCTGAGTAAATTATGAGAGGATTAAAATTTTTGGGTGAACTGTCCCTTTAAGTACCATCATAATAAAGTTTTAGCAGATATTAGTTAGGCAGTCTACTAATACTCTAATGACTGCTAGCTGACATGGAGTTGGCGAGTTAATTATACTTAGTAAAATGTCTGAATTGGACTATCAAAATAAAGTGTTAGCACACAGTTTAGAGGAATCAACCTCCAAACAGAGGGAGATGACTGTGTTTGATAGGGAGCAGTGATTAGCTAGTAACATGTGCCACCTGCTGGAGTGTGTCTGAGTGTTTGAGTGCTCTCCGGTGCTCACCTGCTCCTGCAGCAGTGCTATCTGTTGACGCATGTCTGCCTCTCTGCGCCGCAGACGCTTATTCTCTTGCAGCATGCGCTCATGGTCCTTCTGCTCGGTTTTATAATCAGCCTCGTAGATTTGAGTCTGTGCATGGATAAAGTCAAAGTCTTTTACAATTACAACAGAGTAAAAACATCTATGAAGCAGATTTATTTATTTATTTTTTTAATATACAAAATGGTAAATAAATGCAACTTACATTTCTTAAACTATTACTTATATTAATCTTAAATTATACCCCCAAATTAACCTTTGTTCTCATTTGAAAGTCGCTTTGGATAAAAGCGTCAGCTAAATTATTAAATGCAAATGTCAATATTTTACCTTCGGTTTGCCTACTGTACTTATATTTAATGTTTAACTCTATAAAGTCTACTATGTCGTATTTGATATGCAAATATCTAAGTCCTCTGAATTATCCCCGTCACAAAACCTGTTGCTCACACCTTCTGTCATCTGTTTGATAGTTCATACTTTTTATTTTAAGAAAAAAGAAAATGTAAAAGCATCCACCCTTGAGCTCATTGTTCACATGCTCTCTTTACTGATTTTTAAACAGAACAAAATGTATTTGATATTGTTAGTGATATTTCCAGATGAACTCTTATTGGACTGAAGCAGCTAGGCTTTACTTGATTCTCCATCGAGTCTCAAATCTGATCATCAGGTATTTGAGGAACGTTTATTTGTTCATCTCTCAGTCATCATTGTATTGCATTACATTATATGTTTTGTCATATAATGTCATTTATATAATTTAAATATCATCTTACTAAGACTATAGAGTGATGATGACTGATATTTATATTAAATATTTACATGCTTTCGAATAATTTTTTTAAACTTTTTGGCCATAACAATACTGATATTACTCAGCTGCATTGAATTGCATATTTTTGCTCAGTTTGAGTCTCTGAATTTGTATGAATATATATAAAGTATGAGTATCATATTCTCTATATTATACTATATTAGCCATAAAAAACGAATTTATCAAATATATCACATATGCATTTTTTTTCGCCATTTTGTCTAAAGGTCAGGCTTTACAGTCTCTTTTCAAAATGACATTGAATGTTATGAACACATGATAGCTCACCTGACACCGCAGCGCCTCCAGCTGTTCTTTAAGATCCTGAACTTCTCTTATAGGGTCAGATTGTGTTTCTGTTCCCATGCCAGCCAGTCTGAGACTGGACTTTGTGCCCAGAGACGCAGGAAGCCCTGGAGTCAACCGCACATCCAGGGACGGCTTAGAAGGGCCCTGAACCAGCTGAGAGTCTGAGGAGCCACTGATATCTGGGGTCTTCCAAAGGAGAAAAAGTCAATGAACATGTTAAAGGAAAGTCACATAGCATACCCAGCTGATCTGATGCTGTAAGCTCACCTGAGTTCCTCTAGTCCACTGCTGAAGATCTGTTTGGTGCAGTCGGCTCTCCAGCAGTCTGATATACTCCTGCAGATGCTGGTTTTTCTTCAGTTCCTGCATCAGTGTTTGTTCATAATATTCCCTCTTGTTCTACAGACACAAATACGAACATGCAAAAGTCTCAGTGTCTGTTCATGGATCTGCTTCTGAATCAGAGCGATTCACAGCAAAACATCTGTCACACCATGGCGTTCCATGAAAATGTACAAAAAACTAAATTGATGTGCCAGCTTTAAAAACAAACAAACAAAAACAAACAAATAAAAGTTCCATTTAGAACCAAAACTTTTTAAAGGTGACATATTATGCCCCTTTTTACAATATGTAATATAAGTCTCTGGTGTCCCCAGAATGTGTCTGTGAAGTTTCAGCTCAAAATACTCCACAGATCATTTATTATATCATTTTGAAAATGCCTATTTTGAGTGGAAGCAGAAACAAGCTGTTTTTCGGGCCTGTGTCTTTAAATGCAAATGAGCTGCTGCTCCCCGCCTCCTTTTCCAGAATAGAGCTGCGCCTTTACAGCTCGTACCTGCTAAAAACATCTGTTTTGGTTCTGATTGTCATGTTTATGAAATCATAAACCATATGAGTTTAAACTTCAGGTTTTCTGAGCGCACACATCTGAAGCACACGCACAGAAAGCGGCTGTCACAGCATGCGAGCACTAAACTAAGTTCTCATTCACACACAAGTTTACGTTAAAAACACACACACGTTACAAAAAACAGTCGGTTATGTCTGTGAAGGTAAACAGCTGGGAAATAAATAGCATGTTTATTTTAGATCTGCCCCAGAATGTGTCTGTGAAGTTTCAGCTCAAAATACTCCACAGATCATTTATTATATCATTTTGAAAATGCCTATTTTGAGTGGAAGCAGAAACAAGCTGTTTTTCGGGCCTGTGTCTTTAAATGCAAATGAGCTGCTGCTCCCCGCCTCCTTTTCCAGAATAGAGCTGCGCCTTTACAGCTCGTACCTGCTAAAAACATCTGTTTTGGTTCTGATTGTCATGTTTATGAAATCATAAACCATATGAGTTTAAACTTCAGGTTTTCTGAGCGCACACATCTGAAGCACACGCACAGAAAGCGGCTGTCACAGCATGCGAGCACTAAACTAAGTTCTCATTCACACACAAGTTTACGTTAAAAACACACACATTTTACAAAAACAGTGGGTTATGTCTGTGAAGGTAACAGCTGGGAAATAAATTGCTTGTTTATTTTAGATCTGTGTGGCAGCAGCAAACACCGTTGTCGATTTGTGAAATCAAAATGACGGTGCCTTGAGTGGAAGTTTACAGATTAAGGGGAGGTAATATTATAATGAGACCCCTTTGCCACGTCACCAAGGGAGCGAAATCAGATGCGCTCGTTTTCTCAGACGAGTTTCTCAGAAGTGATTGGGTTAATCTTTTTCACGTTTAAGAAATAGAGATAAGAAAGAATAAGATCATGTAGAATAAGTGAAAAAAAAAAGTGAAAGTGACGTGACATGTGGCCAAGTATGGTGACCCATACTCGGAATTAGTGCTCTGCATTTATCCCATCCAAAGTGCACACACACAGCAGTGAACACACACACCATCAACACACACCCGGAGCAGTGGGCAGCCATTTTTCTTTTTGCTGCGGCGCCTGGGGAGCAGTTGGGGGTTCGGTGCCTTGCTCAAAAAAAGTGTGAAGATTGTCAGAACTGTTGAAGTCACTTATGACTTAAATTTTGGTGGCTTCAGAGGATTTATATAGTTTATATAGTAAAATAATGTATATGACTTGTATGGACTACTTTGATTATACTATAAAGATGCCCTTTGAATGCATAAAGTGACACACTGATAGGCTCTAAAAATGGACACTGTATGAAAAAGACCAGCAAGAACGCTGTGCTAAATATCTCATTTTTTTGTTCTACAGACAAATCAAAAGAGTTTGGAATGACGTGATGGTGACTAAATGGCTAATGTAATTTTGAGGTAACCTAACCTTTAAAAGATCTAATAGTTTTATATAGAACTTCTGAAGATCTTACAGTATAATCAGGTGCTTTTTTAAATCCCCAAATAGCCACATAAAGAATACATGAACCCTTTACAGCCAATATGTGACCCTGGGCCACAAAAGCAGTGTTAAGTCGCTGGGGTATATTTGTAGCAATAGCCAAAAATACATTGTATGGGTCACAATTATCGATTTTTCTTTTATGCCAAAAATCATTAGGATATTAAGTAAAGATCATGTTCCATGAAGATATTTAGTAAATTTCCTACCGTAAATAAATCAAAACTTAATTTGTGATTAGTAATATGCATTGCTAAGAACTTCATCTGAACAACTTTAAAGATGATTTTCTTAATATTTTGATTTTTTTGCACCCTCAGATTCCAGATTTTCAAATAGTTGTATATCGGCCAAATATTGTCTTATTATAATAAACCGTACATCAATGGAAAGCTTATTTATTCTGATTTCAGATGATGCACAAATCTCAATTTCATAAAATTCACCCTTATGACTGGTTTTGTGGTCCAGGGTCACATATGGTCATTGATAAGAAGAGGATCCTTTGCTGAATCTGAGGTTCGGAGTATGTGAAATGTTACCACAACCTCTAGCATTAAGTTACTTACATTCTAACCTGGTTTAGAATGATCAACACTTGGCTAACCACCAGTGCAACCAAGCAACCCTCTGCAGATGAGATCTGTCCACTGGCAGACAGCGAGGGCCTGGACCTCATCCAGCTGTTCATAAATCCACCCTCGACTGTCTTTAGCGCTGTGTTATGGGGCTTTAGTGTCCTGGAGCGTGTGAGCTTCATCAGGGATCAGGGCTATCCTGCAAAACAGCCTCATATTCCCGCCTCTCGACCATGCAGAGCAATCATCTGAACTAATTACTCCAGTATCCTCTGGCTTTCTTCAAATATAAAGCGCTCCAGATGTAATAAATCAGACTCATCACACATATTGCTTTTCCCATCTCACAGAACCAGGACACCTAACATCCCAGCTAACAAAAGTATGCTTTCAGAATGCTTTGCTAATGTTCCCATTAAGTTATGGAAATGTAATTTCTGAATGTTCTCTGAATGTTCAAAACGTTCAATTTCAATGTTTGAAACAGTTTTTATATGTTTTAAAAATGATTTTTTTTTCTTGTTTACGCAAATGTTATAAGCATAATTCAGTTTTATTATTGTGCAAACATTATGGGAACGTTACATTTGAATGTTCTCAGTAATATAAGAAGTAGTAAAAAATAATTTAGACGTTAGTTTCCGAAGAAAAAAAAAAGTTCCATGTTTTTGTGCTGCTAATGTTTTATAAACATGAATGTCCAGTGATATTATTGTCTTGTCTGGTCTTTAATAATGCCAAGTAAAACATTAGCACAGAAACATTATTCATACATTTCTCATGATTTTTCTTCTGAAACATGATTTTTTTTAAAAATGTTCGTGGGGACTTTCCGTTGACTTTGTTTTTACATATTCATTACATAATTTTTTAAGTCCCTTTACTAATCCAGTGTCCATATAACCTACTGTACTATGATTGTAGGGACATTTGATCCCCACCAAAAAAAAACAAAAAAAACCCCACAGCCAAATCTGACTCGGGTACACAAAACACTTGAATAGATTATGTTTGTAAAAACGACACCTTACTTTCTTGATATAAAAATTGGCTACGGTCTGTAATTAATATATTATATGGATACAATATAAGGAACCCTTTAATTAAAAATAATTTAACATGCAAATAGAGTGAAAAACACTATTCCCTTATTTGGTCTAAGTGTGACACCTTCTGGAGAAACTGTGTAACAGAAAGCATGTTTGTATTTTCAAATATCAAATGAAATTCAATTTGAATTCAATTTTCTGAGCTGCTGTAATTCTAAAAATTATTACTATTTTTTTTTTCTTTGTAAGATGAATTTCAGAATATATAGCACTATTAGTACTAGTATTAGTACGCTGGACTGTAATATAAACACAGTGGTTCATGAATATGGAAACAGAAAGCATGTTTGTTTTCCAGTTGATCTAAATGCATCTTTTCTTTTTCCAACTGATGTTTGTAGTGTGTAGTCCAACTATGTAGTTGATTCTGAAAATTGAGTTGTGAGGGTGAAGTCACAGCTGGTGGTTTATTCTACCTCTTTGTTGAGTCTCCGGAGTTCAGTGTTTTTGTTGAGGAGCTGAAGCTTTTCCTCATCAGAGGAGGTGATTGACTTAACCATACTTGCCACCAAAATAGTTACAGCAGTTACTGTTACTACAGTAATAGTGTTACAAATGCAATATTGTTTCAGTTTTGTATGACTTAGTACTGGAAAATACCAAGTTCCTTATGAACAGTTCTGTTTTTGCACCAAAATGCCTGGATAATACAATCTCCCATGTGGCAATTTACAGTTTGCAATAAACTAACGGGTATTTTAGTGGAAACTGTGATTATTATATGTATATGTACTAAAAGAACAGAAAACAACAATACAGCAATACCTTAGCACAGATCTATTTACACTATGTAAAAATAGCAGTATTTTCTATAGTGGCAACTATCTGAACCTCAGTATTGTAGTACATTATAAAACAGTATGCACATAACATATTGAGTGTAAGTTATCAGTTTTATTAGAATTATTTAATGGATGCTGCCTTATTGGGACAATATAAGCCATCCCTACAACTATACCCTAACCCTAGCCGATTATTAATTTTCAGCTTTTCGATTATTTTCTTCATTTTATTTGAAAATAAATGCCTTTCTTATAAGAGATGTGAAAAGTGAGAAGAATGAGTTCGGCAAAAGGTGGATTCTAACTTGGGTCGATCGTGTCATATTGCATTAAATCGCTTTATCATCTAAGCTACTGAAGCCCTCGCTTGTCGACTGTCTTTTGTAGTGTTGTCCAGCCCAACCACATGTTGGTGGGTGGAGGTAGTGCAAATAACTTCTGCCAACAAGGCTGGTTATATGCACTTAGTGTAAATAGACACTCGGTTTATTTTTAGAGACTGTAGACACAGTATGCAGTAAGAAGTATGCTAGTGTTTCATTGTGAAAACTGCAGATGTGATGTGGAAGATGGATTAACACACTGACCACATTACCGTCCCACTGGCCACGCTTCCTCTATTCATTATGACTGCACGCCAGTCAGTGTATTGCTGAGTCCAGCATTAGTTAGAGCATTAGCTCTAGTCAGCTGAGGGTGAAGGAAGTGCTTTAGCAATGGCTTTATTGACCCAGTGCGCTATCAGGACCAAGGATGAAATGTGCTCTGAAATGGAACGTCCTCCGTTCGCTCTGAAACAGAACTGAAGGACAAGTAACCATACTTGCCACCAAAATAGTTACAGCAGTTACTGTTACTACAGTAATAGTGTTACAAATGCAATATTGTTTCAGTTTTGTATGACTTAGTACTGGAAAATACCAAGTTCCTTATGAACAGTTCTGTTTTTGCACCAAAATGCCTGGATAATACAATCTTCCATGTGGCAATTTACAGTTTGCAATAAACTAACGGGTATTTTAGTGGAAACTGTGATTATTATATGTATATGTACTAAAAGAACAGAAAACAACAATACAGCAATACCTTAGCACAGATCTATTTACACTATGTAAAAATAGCAGTATTTTCTACTATTTATACTAGCAAATAGTGGCAAATATCTGAACCTCAGTATTGTAGTACATTATAAAACAGTATGCACATAACATATTGAGTGTAAGTTATCAGTTTTATTAGAATTATTTAATGGATGCTGCCTTATTGGGACAATATAAGCCCTCCCTACAACTATACCCTAACCCTAGCCGATTATTAATTTTCAGCTTTTCGATTATTTTCTTCATTTTAATTGAAAATAAATGCCTTTCTTATAAGAGATGTGAAAAGTGAGAAGAATGAGTTCGGCAAAAGGTGGATTCTAACTTGGGTCGATCGTGTCATATTGCATTAAATCGCTTTATCATCTAAGCTACTGAACCTGTCGCTTGTCGACTGTCTTTTGTAGTGTTGTCGTGCCCAACCACATGTTGGTGGGTGGAGGTAGTGCAAATAACTTCTGCCAACAAGGCTGGTTATATGCACTTAGTGTAAATAGGCACTCGGTTTATTTTTAGAGACTGTAGACACAGTATGCAGTAAGAAGTATGCTAGTGTTTCATTGTGAAAACTGCAGATGTGATGTGGAAGATGGATTAACACACTGACCACATTACCGTCCCACTGGCCACGCTTCCTCTATTCATTATGACTGCACGCCAGTCAGTGTATTGCTGAGTCCAGCATTAGTTAGAGCATTAGCTCTAGTCAGCTGAGGGTGAAGGAAGTGCTTTAGCAATGGCTTTATTGACCCAGTGCGCTATCAGGACCAAGGATGAAATGTGCTCTGAAATGGAACGTCCTCCGTTCGCTCTGAAACAGAACTGAAGGACAAGGGTGATGACTGAATGTGCTGTTAGGTTTGCTTGTTAACTATGACCTTGTTAACAAAGGCACTGTGATGTTTGATGAGAAATGCAACAAAAACACACACCAAGCTAAACTGGATAGCAAAAAACCTAGTCAGCCATGTCATAATTTCTTTGTTTATAATAATTAATTATATTTAAATCAAGTTTTTGGGCATACGGGTCAACCTGTATGGGGGAAAAAAAAGTGGAGCATTAAAATATCTTACATATATGTTAAATATAAATTAAATATATTTTTGAAATTTAAATATTTGGTTACATATTTATATTTATTTAGTTTTACCCTTCATTTCCCAAAATAATATTTCATAACCAAAATATATTTAAAAATACTCTAGTCTTAGAGCAGCGTATATGTAGGCTTAATTTAGTATTTATTTTTATTCAAAGGTGTCATATGTTCATTTGTTATAGATAATTATATTAAAAAACACATATATATATATATATATATTTAAATTTTTTTTTTTTTTTCAAATAAAATAATGCAGTTTAAGAATCAAAAATAATCTGATTTTGGAGTTTGAAAATGA